TCCGTGCTCTCCGCTCTTCGGGTAGGTGCATCATATGAAAGATCACGTTCGCCGATGTCACCGTGGCAGCTGGTCTCCACTGGGCCGTGGTTTCGCGGATCTTGATCGTGCGGTCCAACTGCGGGTCAATGGTCAGGTTGGTCGTCGGCGAGATCTTGCGCAGCGGCGTTTCCTGCTTGGCGAAGCGTAGGCAATCTCTCGCCAGAAGACGGTCGTCTGGCTCAAGCCGTTTGATGGCCTGCAAAATGCGATGCCGATCGACAATCCGCGACGTGCTCAGGTTTTTCGCCGCGACGACACGACACGCGTCAGCCGCCAGATTTTGTACTTCTCGGTCGGTATACTTCGTGGCGTTGTCGGCCAAAACATCGACAAGCGAAGCTTGCCGCTGTGGCGGGGCGTAGTGGGTGCGTAATTCGGAAATCTTCTTCTTTGCTGAATCATGCATGCTGTGCCGCTTAAAGAGCAAGAACAATTGCTCGAGGCATTGGCTTGCTTGATCGCTGTGCGGCCAGCCATCGTCCAGGGCATCGATGGCCCGAGGTACGCTGGCCAGCTTCTCTTCCAAAATCTTTGCCGCCCCCAGCGCATCGCGACGTGAACGACATTCGCTCACAGCAAGTTCGAAGCACTTGTCCGCTTCGTCTTGCTGTTGAAGTTGAACGTACAAGTCGCCTGCTTTCAGGTAACGCTTATGTTCGAGGTATAACTCAATCGCCTCGCTGCACAGCCCACCCTGTTCCAGACACTCGGCCGCATCCAACGGACGCTTGAGCCGCTCTTGGTAAAGCACTGCCGCTTCCCGCCAATGTTGTCCCTGCTTCAAGACGTTCGCGGCCGCTTCGATGTCGGCCAACAGCTCGGCATAAATGTACGCCGCTCGGCGATACCGCCCCAGTCCGATCTCGCGGTTGGCCAGCTCACGGTATTTACGCTGCAGTTCCTGCTGTCGCTGGTACGACAAATCCCAGTGATCGGCGGGCCCGCCGGCTCCGATCCCGCCGAGGCTGAAATAGGGATTGCGC